CGGCCGGGAGCCACTCGGGCTAGCTGGCTAGCGAGGTCCGACTCTGCCCCCCCGCCCCCACCCCCGACCCAAAAAAGTTGTTTACCTCCACTTGTGGATGTGGTCGCCCCGCGAGTTTTTGTCCACTTTTCTCTGGGACACGAAGGCAAGGACCAAAAGTTCACCCTGGATCTAAGCGCGGCGGCTTTTGGGAAACGAGCAGGATGTCGAGCGAACTTGAAAGCGGTCACTTGGACTCCACTTTGACAGCGGCGGCCGCGGCGAGCTGCGGCGCATCCGACCAGCAGAAGCCGACCCCCCAAAGCGACAAGTCCGCGGAGGCTCAGCGGGCCGGCGCGGCGGAAGCGCCCGGAGCCGAGGAAGGCGACGGCGAGCCGAGCCTCGACGCCGACGGGGCGGCCAAGAAAGTCGTCGCGGCTCCGCCGCCCAAAGTCAACGCGTGGACCCGCAGGACGACGGGCAGGGTGCCGCTGCACAGCGTCCACCCGTCGGCCTCGCAGGACAGAGGTGAGCCGATTATTGACGAGCCATCGGCGGCGATTCGGGCTTGTGCACGTGTTGGCGAGTGCCTGCTTGTACTTTGACATCTTGGACAACGTCGCTGGGCCACGAGGAATGATTGTTCTCAAGCGGCGACATTTTCGCAGGCCAGCATGTCGACATTTGAGAGGACCCCTCGCACTCCTCCCTCTCCTTCGCGCGAGCACCACGTGTTGATTGCTGACAACTGCTACTTTAGTAGCAGTTAGCATGTAACCTCTCCAGTCTCCTCCCCCCTCCCCGCAACACCGCGACCGCGGCCTCCTCCCCCTCCCTGGGAGGGATGCCAACGTCGGGCCGCTGGGGAGCCGCACTCGTTTGTAGTCATTCCCTCGCCTCTGGAAAGCCGATTTTGTCCTGACTTAGCCATGTGGTGCTGGTGGAATGTTTGGAGAGGATAGATCAGGGGTGAGCAATTCCAGTCCTGGAGGGGCCGCTATCCCGCATGTTCTCAGTCTCTCCCTGTTGCAACACAGCTGATTCTACTGATCAGATCATCAGCAAGCTCTGTGGACGCCTGATCTGGAAGCTGTTCATTTGAATCAGGTGTGTTACAACAGGGAGATTTGGAAAACATGCAGGACGGCGACCCTCCGGGACTGGGATTGCCCACCCTTGGGGTAGATGATCCCCCGCAACGCTTCGAGTTGGACATATTTATGAAATTTGTCAACTAATCGGTGCATCGCACTACACCTCCCTCCCTCAGCCCCAATTTTTCAGAGTCGATTCACCTCCTGACGCGTGTGGTGGTTTTTGGTGTGTGTGAGTGGCGTTGTATGCACCAAACGACAAAATGATCGTCTTCAGTAAGATGTGCCAGCCATTTTGATTTTCACATTTCGCCACAATTTCCAAGTTTCCGTGCACATTATTATTTTTTTCTTTCTAAGAGCAGTCACATTTTTTCGTCCTTTTGTGCTGCACCAATACACAACTAACCAATTTTGCGATATTTTTTTCTCTTCGTTTTATTGCTCAAAAATGTTGGGTGACCCGCCACATATGTTCACATGAACAAAAAAAAAAAAAATGGCCGATTGCTTCCACTTTACAGTCAAAGGACACGAGGAAGTTGGCCAAGAGGGCTGTGGAACAACACTGTGACCGCCGACTCCAAACGCCGCGGGAGATGAAACGAGACGGGAATTCCACCATCGAAATGCTCATGTCCTAAAGAATCACCATGATCGGTGTTAGTCGGACCTGGTGACAATGTACCTCGAGGGACAATCTGTCCGTTAGAACGCTCGTTCGTGGTCACCATTTCCAACAAAATGGTCGTCGACCACGATGTGTAACACATTAGGGTAACATGACGGAGCACCTGCACTGTGGAACAGCTGAAGCTGTACATCAAGCAAGAATGGGAAATAATTCTACTGACAAAACTACAACAATTAGTTTCCTCGGTTTCCAAATGTTTATTGAATGTTAAAAGGTCATGTCACAGTGGTAAGCGTGACCCTGTCCCAGTGTTTTTGCAATGTGATGCAGCCATTTTTTTCTACTTTGGCAGAGAGAGAGAGAGAGAGAGAGAGAGAGAGAGAACACAAGACTACTGCTTGAAGACAAAAAATATGTGGTTGTTGTGAGTATAGTATTTATTTTAGGGATTCTTTCTTTTAGTTTCAGGCTTTTTGTGAAATTGAATATTTTTTTACTGTTTCGTATTTTTTTCTTGTTTCTCTGATTTAATTTCTGTTCGTTATATTTTTTTCTGTTTTTCAATTTTCTTTCTTTTTTTTTACGTCTCCAGGAGTTGCGCTGCATTTCCGCATGCCGCCAGCAGGGGGCAGCAGAACGATTGTTTACAGCGGCCGTAGCGTGGGCAACGCCACAAGCGAGTCCACAGCGTACGGTCGACGAGTAGCAGGAGCTCGTGGGGAGGGGAGTAGCTAGTAGCTCCGAGCTGCCTGCTTGGTAGCGTGGACTTCATACACTCACTCGGGACCGCGTCATACTTTCAGCCTTTCAAAAGTTACGCCAAGTCCAAGGCGACTCGAGCGACAGAGAGTCGCCGCGCCACTCAGAGGTAAACGCCCGGCTGACGTGAAACTTTGCACTCGCGGGGCCCAAACGACACTTTTTTTCCCCTCGGGTCTCGCGGACGTGTGCGCGGTGAGGCTAGCTCGCTAGCACTCACTTGGGCTAGGCGGCTAAGGCTTAGCGTCGACTTGGGCTAGCTAGGCGGCTAACGGCAGGGACTCGGCCTGGAGCCACTCGGGCTAGCTGGCTAGCGAGGTCCGACTCTGCCCCCCCGCCCCCACCCCCGACCCAAAAAA